ACTAGTACGACCAAGTATGTCCTCATATCGCTTTTTTGTGTTGAAATAATCGTTTCATACTGAAATTGACAAATATAAATGGTATTTATTTATATTGTTGACGAAAATTTATGGTGTTTTAGGCATAAAAATCTCTGATTCCTAGGCGAGGTAAAATTAGCCTTGAGCACATGTTTGGTTGTTTGTTACATACATAATAGCCAAGTATTCATACTTATATCTTACTAGTTGGCTCTTTTTATAATTTTATATGGCACCATGTCTATAAAAGTTTTTATTCGCACTGATGAATATATTGATCCTGTTCCTATCTGCTGTTCCTGTTTCATAGCCTCAGGGAAGTAGAGTTCTGATGAGTCACCAACCCAGAGGGAAGGTAGGGGGATGAGTAGAGGTAGAGGGAAGCCCAGCCATTAGGACCTAAGGTTTCGAAAGCTACCTGTCTAGCATCCCCACTAGGCCCCATAGTACATGACGGATATGATGATCCTGACACCAGGAATGTTCTCCCAGATTTTGCTCCTCACTGACATGTCCAGGATCCATTTCGATCAACTGTGAGCTTGAGTTCATTCGGCTCAATGAACTGTGAGCTTGAGTTCATTCGACTCTTTTTTACTAAGGGAATGCTTCAGGAGGTAGTTTCTTGGCCATGTACCAATACATATGCCAACATACAAATAACTCAAAAGTTATCCCCATATACTAATAAAAAAGGGTCTTGCAGTCCACCAACCTTGAGAGGTTGATTGCCTTTTAGTATAATATGCAGGTTTGCTAAAGATTCGACAGTGAGATTGAAAATTATTGGAGTGTAAAAACCTTATATCATGGTCTGTGGGCAATAGACATAATTTCTCGGGTTAGGTACAAAGCGCTTATAGCGTTTGTGAATATGTTAAATCCTGTACTAAAGACTACAGCAATAAACTGCATCAACAACTGTACCAGCCGTCACAGAACACTGTCAAATCATGAAATAGGTTGGGGGTTAGGCAGTTCATGAAAGCTAGATGACCTACTATGTGGGGAATAAATCTGTGGGTTGCTGCAGACATGCAATCCTAATGGTTATATTGCGACTTTGAAATTTATACAGGAAGAAGTCCAGATATTCATCGCAACAGATTTGGGTATGACGTGGTGATCTGATATCAGTTTGGTTACAGTCTTAGGTCTTTTGTGGTACAATATAAAGGATACAATATAATTATATAATACAATATAATTTTCACCACATAATCCAATTATGTGCTTTGGCAAACATTACTGCTTTAGCAAACATTACTGCCTTGGAAAACATTACTTTTTTATAACTACTAATTATGATGATGCCAGCCCAACAACACTGGATCATGCTATTTGCAAATATTTTCATGTTCTAGATTGTGAAAACAATCAATTTGTAAACAAATGAGTTGTGATTATTTCAAATTTGAATAGCATGACCAAATTTTGAGGCTGGTTATGCCACTAATAACTAAAGTCAATGGTGTAATGATTATCTAAGAATGTATGTAGTAATTGTAAAAATAAAGACATTTTGCTAATCATGATTTGAGTGTTCTTTTGTGGGTATCACCGACTTATTTTGGTGCCATACTATCTTTGGAGAGTAAGAAATATTGGAAATTTGTATTGATAACATGTTGCAGCAATAAAAAAGGACCTTTGATAAAGGTATGTGTTTCATGTGAGCACAAAATGTAAATTTTACTCCACTACCTAGTTTATATAAAAATTCAATGAAAATATTTCTATTTATGCTACATGCATGAAACTTCGGGTACTTGTAGATCATAACCGTGTCTTTCAGTCATATTCATAAAATTTTTTGAAATATTTGAATTTTGAACCGCTACATACATTTATGCATAATTGCAACATTTTTTTATATCATAATTTATGCAAATTTATGCGCATAAATCGTTAACCAAGCTCCGGATGAAATTGAAATTGGTATCGTTGGAAAGCAGAAGTCCTCCTCTTTCGAACGATGCAATTTCTGTTTCCGTGCGATGTATAGTTTGAGAGATATAAGCGTTTGAAACAACACCACTCGAAATTGCTACTTTTCAACCGGATGAGAATGAGTTAAGCTTGCAATAGGGACAGCTAAAACGAAAGGTGCAACCCGATGATTAATAATATTTAACTTAATGAAGTTGAGACAAAGGATTTGTGCACGGAGAGGTACAGTTCAATATCAAACAAAGGCCTTCTATTTTGTAGCTTTGAAGTTTGGTGGTATTCCAGACCATCATATCACATAGAATATATGGCTAACGTCGATCACAAAGCACTGAGCACAGGCTCAGAAATATTATAGCATGCAAGGACTGAACTGGCTTGGGTTCACTGCAGGTTAAGGACTGCAAGCAAACATACACATTATGTTATTTTTAAAATACTTCTATATAATGCATGGTGGTTTAATTTCAAATAATTTATTCATTATTCATTATGGTGTAATTTTGAATTACAATGTGCGTTTCTTTATACAGGGTGTCCCAAAAAAGCTGCAAACTGTTGAAAAAAACGTATTGTTAGAATGTTGTTGGTTCAAGTGAGGCCAAAAGCTACTGTTAAAAGTAAAGTAAAGTTAGGTGGAAATTTTATTTTAAAACTATAAAAGTATAAAAATTTATATTTTTATAGTTTTAAAAATAAAATTTCCACCTAACTTTACTTTACTTTTAACAGTAGCTTTTGGCCTCACTTGAACCAACAACATTCATATAATGCTACTGAAGGACATCTTTGTTCGTATTGTTAGAATTTGAATGCCTTAGGCTTATTGAAGGTGAACTGACACAAATTTTTTTAAACCTGTTTTGACTTTTACTGTATTTAATCATTACAGCTTCAATTAAAAAATGGGCAAAAGGCGACGAAAAACCATATTTTAAAGGCATTTTTCTTGGTTTTAAATCGGTTCACTTTACGTGTCACAAGCATGTGACAATTTGGCTGTGACGTAAATTTGTTTGCAAACGCATTTGGCAAAGCTACAGAGAATATGGAGGCGAATAAAGCAACAGGAAGAGGAGGCAGATCTTGTGTAGCTGGGATGCTACAAAAAGTTAGTTGCAAGAATACATCGTATACCCCGGGCATAAAGATGCATGCCTTCCCAAAAGAAGCCAGAAATGGGTTCCATTTGTTCGAAAACATCAATTAGATTTCAAAGAGCCGACAAAACATTCATCTCTGTGTTCCGCGCACTTTGAAGATTTGTGTTATTCCTGTCGCTTTTTAGATGAAAGTTCAGATTATAGAGTGCTTGAATGTGGATCTATTCCGACCAAAGATACATCATTTTTGGAGAATAAAAACAGTGATATTACGGTGAGAGGGAAAAGGAAGGTATATTTTTAAACTTCAACTGTATTTACAAAGCATGCCGTATTTGCATATCGCATATTCGCTATTTACTGATTCGCTAATTATTGCATATCCATGAAGTGGTTCATTATCATATATTTATGAAGCTTGGTGTAATAATATAAGGTTTTCAGTGATATGTTTTGTAAGTAAAAGATATCATTTTTATTCTGGTGTTGTCGGTTTCCCAGATCTTACGTGAGGCTACAAAAACCAGCCCATGCAAAGTGGCCAGAACGGCTAGCAGGGTAAAAGAAATAATGGCAATTGAAGAGACCGATCAAGATGAAGGGGTTATAACTACTGTAGAGGCACCAGGAGACTGTCATAAACCCACAGAACCTAGTAGCCCAGAGCCTAAATCAAAGACAACTCAAACCCTTGATGGCTATAAAGAAAAGGAAAACCACAACTCATATAAATCAAAGTATCTTCAAAAGTTGTCTGAATGCAAGAATCTTGAAAAGTCATGTAAAGAGACTGAGAGGCAGAAATTTGTTAGCAAAAAAGGTACTACACAGTATGTTGTACATTGTGATAATTTGGTGGTACTGTATATATTGGGAAATTAAATGATACAACCAAACTTTGCATAAAACTAATATTGGGAAGCACTTTAATTAATGTTGCTATAAATTCTAAAAAGTCGACTCTGCAGAGGAGAGTGTCTGAAAAGTGTAGCATCCCATCCCATAAAGCAGTTAGTGTAGTATCCTACCCTAACAGGTAACCTTTTCGGAGTACAAAACATACATATTAATTCATTGTTGTCTTTTAAAGAACATTTTGAAAGAAACTGTGCCACTTGATGAACCAGACGTTGAAGAAAACCAGGAAAGTATGGAACAAACTATGTGTGGTGAGCCACAAGAAAGTGATACAGAGATGGAGTGTGATAGTGATGTAGAAGAGAACTTGAATTCAGACACTGATGATGAAGATTTATCTAGCTAAGATGAATTTACTGAGGATGAGAGTGAAGACTTTGTACCCAATGAAGAATTGCCTTCAGATGATGAAGAGTTGCCTTCAGATGATGAAGACTTTCCCGATGGCACACAGGTTTCCCGATGTAAACAGGGCTTTAGTTGGCTTGTGAACACCCCAGCCATTCTTTTCGTAAGATCTCTATATAAGGACTTGTTTTATTTCAGATTGAAATAAATAATGATGGACGTCAGTTTGTGAAAGAAGATTCCAAAAAGCATTATTTTAGCAATCCAACCGATTTCACAGATTATGAACTCTTCTTGAGCGAACATTTAATCAGTGACAGTTCGTATTTATTGTTAATTTGCCAAAGGTTTGTGGTATATTTGCAGACATTGTTGTAGTACATATATGATACATTTTTTACCAACAGTTTGATTCCACAGCACTAAATTCAAAGTATCATATTGCAGTATCGTTTTATTGTAACTGTTTCAAACATCACTACTTCACTAAAATACACACAAGAAACATAACAGGACACAATGCGCAGTGCTTAAAAGTACTGTTATAATATCTTATTTAGATTCATTGATGAATCATTGGCATTCAAGGAAAATACCATGGCTTTCAAATTAGCTACAGTATTTCTTCTGCTTCGACTTTTACGAATAGGCGACAAAAAAACATTGGGGTATGTTCACTATAACTTAGCATAATTCATGATAACGGGGAACATGCTGGATGCGTCATGTGCACATGCTACGATTTTAGTTGTAGTCGTAGTCATTTGAGGGGTCTATAGATCATTCCACTGACTGTTTTTCGTCTTAACATGTATTTAAATAAAAAATGGTTGACTAATATAGTGTGTGTGGCGGAACCGCCCACATCCTTGTACCCAGGGTCTTTTTGGGAAGGACCCAACCTCGTTCCCCTAGCTTGCGATCCTCGGGAATGAACGCGAGGCTCTGGGATAATCCATTGCCGGAAGCCAGGAATCCTGCCTAAGATTGAGCTGCACATTACATACAATATATAGTTCGAAGCACCCGCTAACTTCTATTTTATGCCTCTGTTTGCTTTTAAATTACAAAAACACGGTAGCATTTTATCAACAATCAAGTCAAGAAACAAATAAATTGTATACTTTAAACTTTAAAGTTGGCCTAGTTGGGTATTCTCTCACTTGAAACATATTTTCATATCAATTGGTCAGTCGTCAACGTTTGCATATTTTAACCTTTATCTTTTTCTAAAATATGCCATTAGATTTGTTGTTTGCAAACGTTGATAAACTTTGACCTTTGTGCCAATTTACTAAGAGTATGTGTCTTGTTTATTGAAGGTTGATACAATTTTGAAATGTAACTTTTTGTCATAAATCACAATGTAACAAAGTGGACACTGCCAAACTGAATGCTCAATTTAAAACTGTTGACGATTTATAATACTGATTTTTCTGATATACAGTACATATTTTATAACACGAACATAGTCATAGATAATTCCATAAACTATGGCATAAACACTGATATCACTCACTCCATGCAGTCATACCCATCACAGATATAATAACACTTACTTAGTTTGACTCAGTATTATATTTCTCAAAACAAAAAAGTTCTCACATATTACTGCAACAACATCGATGCACAAATTACAGTGAAGCTAATGTCACAATTGGGGCTGTTCATCAAATTTATCATGCAGACTTCATTCTCTAATGTCAAACATATTAAGTTACAAATACGCAATCAAATGCAGTATTCATATTTGTAACATACAGGCACAGAAGAGTTTTTAATTTATCTTTGAGTAGGCTATTGACTATTGTCGGATTATTTTACAGTAAGTTTGATAACAATTAACAATTATTTGCCGAAGGCAAAGTGATTACCGGTGAATATTCACTGTAATCACTGAGCCTGAGGCGAATAATTGTTTTAGTATAAATTTTTAATGAATAAAACAAAATATCGGAATATCAGTTAAATTAAATTTTAGACTAAATAAAACTGTTTTGTTCACTATTAAATAGTGTTGCAGTGTTTCTTGTATGCACACACTTTCAAAATGACTTCTTGTGCGACTTTATTGCTTTATTACAAAGTTGTTTTTCTCAATTTTTGCTTGGAATATAAACACAATAACGGAATTACTCTTTCACCAAGACTTAAAAATAGTTTCTGTTTAGCATTAATTTTTTCAGGAAATGGCTGAGGAATTTGGTAAAATGAAATGTAAAACTATATCATTTGAAATAAAGTTTTAATAACACTTTTTACTTTACAAGTTTCGAAAACACAATACAGCGGTCAGAACACACCATAAAGCACAATGAAAACATGACATATCAAAAGAAATAGTATCGTACAAGTTGGGAAATCCTATAGTATACAAAATAAAATGGATTTTAAAGAATATCACAGCAAGGTTTTTCCCAAAAGTCAGGATGGTTTTTGCTGTTTGTTTGAAGTGAATGTTTCGGAGTTTTAAAAAAGTTTTAAATTGTCTGTGAATATGTTTGACACGGTAAAATAATAAAGGAATCCTACCTTTCAAGTTAAATACAACATTTTGTGTTTCTTTCGTTTTCTGGGGACGATTTTTTCCAATATTTTGTCGATTTTGAAACCAAATTTGCCGAAACATTCTTCTTGAAAAGCATTATTTACTACTCAGGTAGTAAATAATGCCTCAGATTTACTAGTCAGCTAGCAAATCAGAATGCACGAATGCTCATTTGATATGCAAAATTTATACTAAGTAGTCTGAGTACAGAGTACCAGTAAAAGCAAGATAGTTTGCGATATTTCAGAAATCAAAGGATCTATCTATTTCGTTACACATCTCAGTATTAAATAAATCTTTAGGATAGACATCAACAGCTGAATAACAGCCACATCGGTCGGTACTGATGTAGAAATACATTTTCTTGTAACGTTTGCAACGTGTTGATTTCTTCGACGACCCATATCGGCATAATTTGTCTATTGAAATTTGATCTAGCTTTGCTGAACAACATTCTGCGCATAATGAAATTTGATGCTCATTGTTTAACTTAAAGAAGTCATGACAAATAAAATATATAATTTTGTAAATATTTTCTGCATGATTTCTGTGTTTTTTCTTCGTTTACTCTTTGCTCAATTACAAAAAGGAACTCGGTTACCCACCCTAATAGAAATTTTTTGTTATCTCCCAGACTTTGGGAGACACATGACCAGTCGATACTAGGGTCTTGCTTTGTTTTCCACTAGCCGGAATTTCTACTCGAGAGCTCACAAAACAAAGAAAAATTCGCCTAGTGAAAAACAGCCAGAAGTGACTTCTATCATACAATTTCTAGTTATACAATATTACCCTAAATATTACAGTATATATATCACGACCGAACTGAACCACTCACTATATGTGAAAAAGGTTTGAGGTGATAATTTAATTTATAAAAAGCGATAGAGCTATCAGTAAATTTTTTTTAACAGTATTATTAATTTGTAGTACTGTCACAGACACAGATTAGAGTGAAATGCTAAACTCCTACTTATGTAAATACCACAATCTATTTCCTTCCGTACATTCTAGAGTAGTATAGGGTATATGCATTCCAACTAGAACCCTAAAATACACTTGTTCACGGACAGCAGGTACAAAACGCAGGTTGCAGGTTGCAGGTTGCAGGTTGGAATTTTGCAGGTTGGGAATTTTGCAGGTTGGAATTTTGCAGGTTGGGGATTTTGCAGGTTGGAATTTTGCAGGTTGACAGGAATTTTGCAGGTTGATGATGCAAACTGAAAATTACACTACTATAAAGTATTCTAGTATAATTTTATTGTGTACTTATTGCAGTCTGACTCCTTGTTGCCGCTTTTGATATCAGCCTATCCTGCTATCATGTTTCTAGCCTCTGCTCATCACCCTTGTGAAAACATTCAAAATGACCAGATTGGCTTGGATCTTCAGGGGGACGAATGTTTCGATTGTTGCGAGGACCTACATGACGTGGTGGCAGTTCAGAAAATGTCTGAATGAGGTGTCTCTCCTCTGCACTCACTTATGAGACCACTCAAGCCCCCAATTACCGTATCATTATTACTCGAGAGTTAGTTAACTTTTAACAGCATTTTAGTATAAACGCCGCCACATCATGTAGGCACCTTGAAACAATCATATAATTAATTTAATAATTTCGTCACCTTTATATAGATATATACAAAAAATGTATACTAGCAAACAAGCAACACTAACACAACATTCTTACAAAATAACACACTAAACATAGACGTGACTGGAGAAAAGAACAGGACCTGCGTCCCAATTGACACTTTACCCCTATCAATACTAGTATATGATTAAACAAACAACTATATTATATAACATTAAATTTACTTAGATGCAGCCAGGAAGACTATATGATGGTAATTTAGCATTATAGAAGTCGCGTAGCCTGGCTCTAAATATGGATATACTAGAGTTAATTACTAGAGATTTCAGTTCTGATGAAAGACTGTTCCACAGGTTGGCTGATCTTATAAAAAAAGAGTTCCTAAAGTAGTCCTGTTTGTGATTAATCAGGAAGTTGAAATTGTTTTCGTCGTAATTGCGTCGTGATTTATAGCCTGGTTCGAAGGTGCATAAATAGTTATTGACATCCATAGATATTAGTCCGGTTTTTGATTTGAAAACTAGCAACAGGTCGGAGATCTCTCGGCGGAATTCTAATGGCAGGAGGTTTGTTTTAATTAGCCTCTCTGTATAGGACATTTCGTTCAGGTAGTTCTGTATAAACGTCGTCGCTCGCCGCTGAATATTTTCAATCAATGATTTGTGTTTGATGGTATATGTCAATATATGGCGACCAGACATTACTGGCATATTCCAGCTGGGGCCTAACCAGGGTGCAATACAGGAGTCTTCTTGTAGCGTAGTCATGCATGTTCCTTACATATCCTTTTAATGAGGCCAAGGGTTAATCAAAACATTCGTCTCCCTGCATGTAGGTCCAAGCCAATCTGGTCATTTTGAATGTTTTCACGGGCGTGATGGACACTAGCCTTAGAGCAGAGGCGCCGACAAGGAGTCAAACTGCAATAAATGCACAACTAAATTATACTAGAATACTAAAAGTTGTGTAATTTTAAGTTTGCATTATCGACCTGTAAAGTTCCTGTCAACCTGCAAAATTCCAACCTGCAAAATCCTCAACCTGCAAAATTCCAACCTGCAAAATTCCCAACCTGCAAAATTCCAACCTGCAACCTGCGTTTTGTACCTGCCGTGTTCACGGACTGCAATTAATTAAAATAATTGTCTTTTTACCATTTCTTATTGATAGATGAAAGTTCAGTTCTGCTACTACATTCTACCATTGAAGAGTGAAATGTTGGGAAATCTTTCATGCTTGACATACTTTCTTTAAAGGCACAGGGTGTCAATTGCACGCAACATTCTTTACTGCTAGCTGGTGGAGATCAAAATAAAACAGGAACATCAGTGTAAGTTAATTAGAGTTATATTTTTAATGCATGGAATTTCAAGCACAATGATAAGGTTTTCATTCCAGTTGGTTAACCATTAAACGTTTAGTCGCTTAAATGTTATAAGTTGCAATATTGGTGCACTGACAACTTATGCTTTTTGCCTATTTAGAGCAATGATAAGAAAAATTTTGACTCAAACTAATGTCGTTGTGATGACAGACGACCCAATCATAACACCAGGAATGGAAGAGTTTCTTTTACAAACAGAAAGCGGTCTCTCTGCAGGGCCAATAACAGCTGGATTGGTGGCACCTCAAGGAATCTTGCTTTTGACCTCTAACAACAATGTTTTCATTAGGTAATATAAAATATATTTGTAACTCAATCAATAAAACCTAACGTGCACTTTATTGTGCCAAACGAGAAGAGCTTCTGAACAGACAAAATCATTAGGTGTATCACAGCTCAACAAAGGTAAATCAAGTATTCAACTTCAGGACGCCATTGTGTGCAAATTATATGGTATTACGAGCGTAATCTTTTTAAATGAAGAAAATGAGCAAATACTGTTTAATGTTTTGTAAAGGCAAGTGCATGGCATGTCTACATCAAATATAGAGTTAAATACGAGTTTGATAAAATTTTAGTGAAAATCGCTTTATCACTTCTGCAAATTGAGCATAAAACTATTGCCAAAAATCAACTCTCTTTATGACTTAACTCTTAAGTTTGCATTTTTAATATTTTCAGAGCTGATGGCAGGATAATCGTTCTAAAATATCACAAGATGCCATTCTCGGTCGACGACAGAAAAAAACTTAAGGCTGGCATTGGGTCAATAGCTGAAACACACACCGTATATATGCTGTGTATAGTTACCATTTTGCCATGGTGAAATTGAAATTTTAAAAGAAAATTGAATTATCTATACTATAGAATATAAACATATTATGAAATACTAGGACAAAACATTTCTCAAGACACTTGAAACTATGGTTGAAAAGTTTTGAAGTTTGAACAAAGTAGGAAGAATCATGGCCATGTTTCAAGATGAAACATCTTTCAAGACTCTTTTTATTTGAACATTGAGTATTTCACTTCTTCAGTTAGGTGTTTAGGTTGATGCAACTAACCGTAATAATTCAATTTATAGACAACAGGATAGAAGCACAGACCAACGATACACCCATGCATGCACATAATTCAGATATCTTTCTTTCTTTATAACTTTATTGGGAATACTAACAATAACGATAAATGGGTGTTTCCCAAAAGGAAAGGTGCAAACGGGTCAGAAAAAGCCCATGCGAGGCACCTCCCTTACAAACTTTACACAAAAAATTACATTACACTATAAATTATAGTTGAGGTAAAGCTCGATTTGCGCATACCCACAGGATCTCCAAATACGTAAAATGCATGTAGATTTGGAAAATTTGTACGGAAAATAAAACTAACTTGGTTTTGAAAACATGTGACTTGGGCATGTACACGAAACAAACTTTACTTCAATCAAAGAACTATACATTATTTTAGTTTCTGTGACATGGACAGTCTCGAACAAGAGACCAGGTACATGGCATGTCTACGTCAAAAACTGAATTACGTAAAAACGAATAAGTCCGACGAAGAAAGTTCTTAAAAGTAAATAATGTCACGAAGCTATTAGGTGATGCAGTTCTACACACTACATTCCATAAATGAACTGTTCGATTAAAGTAAGAGTTTTTAAACGTAGTTGTTCTACATAACGGCACTTGAAGTAATAGACTAGGATTTAAGGTTAGTCGAGAACGATCATGACTAACAAAACTAACATAATTGCCTATGTCTAAGTCTACGTAACCGTATAGTGCCTTATAGAAGAAGACCAAGTCTTGGATTTCTCTGTCATAACACAGCGGCAGCATGTCCAAAGTCTGAAGTCTCTCCTGGTGTGATATCTCACCTATTCTTGATCTTAGGATCCATCTTGTCGCGCGTCGTTGTATTCTTTCGATCTTGACTTTGAGGGAGACATTGGATGGAGACCAAATTTCAGTACCATAGCATAACTTTGACTTTACAAGCGATAGGTATAATGAACGCCGGATTTTGGTTTCCGTCAATAAAGGACAAGTTCTTTTTAGGACACCAAGCATCTTGTTAGCTTTAGCTGTTATCATTTGAATATGCGAGTTCCACAAGAGATTGTCTGTCACGATGATGCCGAGATCTTTTTCTTTCCGGACACGAAGCAACGAAGATGAACCCAGATGATAGTTGTAAGTCACGGGATATTTCTTTCGAACTATACTTTTATATACTGTATATACGACTATAAAAGCCTAGTGGTTCCTTTTACCATTGCATATAGCGATTGCTGTTAGCATGGGTCATCAGAATGTTTCCTATTTGGCAAGAACAATTGCAAGCAGCTTACAATTTGATAGAAAAAATAGTGACAATGCAAGGATGCAATCATAAAGCTATTAAAAGACCTACAACCTTTGCCAGAAACTATGGGACAGCTGCTCTAATTTCATATAATTTGAAAGGAATAGCGCCCCGTGTTCTCCCAGTTCAATGTTGGGCCAACAAAAATCTTATGTCTGGATACGCGGCGCCAACATTGAAACGGGTGGGGGGGGAGGGAGGGTTGAAAATATGTATCAGGAAATGGTATATTACAACTGAATGCATGTGAAAACTAGATTGTCCCAATCTGTATTGTCAAAGATTGTCTGTTGAAGTAATACCATTACTCTTAAATTTAACTTCATTCAACTTGTAGACATCATGAAGCTGTGTACGCAGTTATATTTTCATAATTTCTTCACCTCTTTTAGGTCCTCTAGCAATTTCGTTGCACACAGATAATTTTCGTGTATACTGTGTCATACAATGTTTGCGTATGTGTGTGTTAGGAAATAGCTAAAATCCGGCTGAAACATTACGTATATATAAAATCAGATTTAAAGGCTTGTATTGCTACATTTTAGTCACAATTCATTGAATTCCATGCATGGTAACAGCATTGGAACTCTATTTAAAGAAAATTGACAACTGAGCCATCTTGTTAGTATAACTAAGCGCGTATATGTGACAATGAGATCAATATAGAAACGAATCTCACCACGAATCTCACCATATTTTCATGGGCTCACACGTCATAAAAGCCTTAATAGGAGACAATATGAAACAAATTCAACCTAGGCATCTAAAGTCCAACATATTTTACAAGATAGGGCGATTTTACAAGTTTTCGTAACAAACTGACTAAGGTACAAAAGATTTTCTAGCAACGATTCTCACTTTCTGTCATAAAATAGCCAATGAGATTTATTTACAGTTTTGTAGTGAGCTTCGTTCAAAAACGAACTTAAAAAGGGATATCTGCAAAGTTGACCGATTGTAATTAAGGAAAATGGTTTCTTGTACCCGTATGCATATAAAATGTAAGATAAGTAAAATTTATAGTAGTGAGTAGTGCAAATCAGCGTTTTAGACCGAGAATCGTTATTGAGCATCGTGTAATATGAGACGTATGTAATTTGATTACTGGCTGCGTTATGAATTGTGCTATAAATCTTATACTGCAAATGAAATTTAGCTTGGAAATGGCCCCAGTTCTCAAGTATAAGTTTGTAAAAGGCGAAAACAATGCATATTTATTTGCCTTTCCCGCAGTTTGATATGTTGTGAGATGAGATTTAAACCTACTCGACTCACAAACAGATTATTTCTGAATAGTTCGGTTCCAGGTTCTTCATAATTATGGTGTTTTGCATCATTCCAAAGACAGCATGTAACTTTTGAGTAAATTTCCACGGATTTTTCACAAGGAAGAGAGCTATGATGATATTAGATGTGAATATAAATGTGCTTATTAAGCATTATAGCTAGTAGCACACGTACCTGTATTGGTATATAAAGTATAATATATATATAACCCCCCCGGAATGAATGGATAGTATCTAAAACTACCAAAACTTGCCCACATATGCTTCGATACTGGAATAAATGTTATTGGGCGCGGTATAAACTTAAAACTAAAACGTTTAATTACCAAAGACCATTGATCACCACCAACACAATCTTTGCCCGAAACTATGGGACAGCTGCTGTAATTTCATATAATTTGAAAGGAATAGCGCCCCCCAGTTCAATGTTGGGCCAACAAAAATCTTATGTCTGGATACGCGGCGCCAACATTGAAATGGGTGGGGGGAGGGAGGGTGGAAAATATGTATCAGGAAATGGTATATTACAACCGAATGCATGTGAAAACAAGATTGTTCTAATCTGTATTGTCAAATATTGTAGCACTGGAAATTTTAAACACTTCCCTGATGACAAGACTGGTAAACGAAGATGGGAATGTATGTAATGCATAAAAAATGTTTAATAGATATTATTATATACACAAGGTCTGGATATGAGGTATTCTGCAATCTGATTGGTTCTCTACTAGCAGGATATTAGCTCATATCCTGCTAGTAGAGAAAAACAAAATGGCAGCCAAACTGAATTTACGAGAAAACGATGGCAAGTTGTCGCTAATGTGACCTCACTTTGAGAGTGGATTACCCTGCAACTGAATGATTTAACTAATAATTAAACTAATAATGTATTATTGTTTGTTTTTTCAGATCATGAAATGGCTTAATCCACTTACAACTGTTCCTGTCAACCAACAATATTGCCCAGCAATAGGAATAAGGTCATCAGTTCTGGATGCTTTCATCAATCTAAAAAGCAAGGTATGTTGTCCCATGAAATGTACTAAATACTGATACTAATACTGATAATAATACTGATACTAATACTGATATTTCTATACTAATACTGTCTGTACCAGTGTAGGTAGTACCATGCAATGTGAAATTGCTGTGCTGAGTGGTTATATCAAAACCTGAAATAAACAAGCAGAAACTCAACGTTTCGAGCGAAGGCCCTTTGTCAAGAGTTAGTAGCCAACTAAGCACAGCAATTTGCTATACTAATAACAATTTTTAAAACCAATCTCTATACAGTCTTACTAATATGCGTATTTATCACACAGGACGTTTCTGCCACCCTAAGGCAAATCAGTGACAGAAAAAAAATGACAAGAAATGCAAAAGGTTGGAAAATTCCAATTTCAGTGATAAAACCAAAATCATTGCATGTATACAACCATAGTTAATGGAGAAGATGGTTTGGAAACTCATAATCTAGGTTTTTGTTCTGGTATATGCAAAAATGTGATGATGAAAGACCACAATTTTCCAAACACCTGACCAACATAGACGAGGTTTATTGTTATTTTATTGTATTATGCTAATGAGTTTTCAAACCATCTCCTCTATTAACTATCATGATATATTTATAACCAATAGCTGGCAACTCATTGTATTTGGTTGAAATGGCTCCCATTTTATGAAGAAAGTAACGTAAATAAAGCCGTATTTGCTTTTAAGAGCATAAATGGCGAGACTGCTCCTTATTTACGTGAAACACTAAAACTAAATCGCGAGCAACATTGCAGAAATACAAGATACGCCGAAGTTAACTTCATCTGTCCAAAGTATAAAAGGGAAAGTGAAGGTGGTAGAACTTTTAGTGTAACCACAATTAAACTTTGGAACAGTCTACCACTAAACTTAAGACGGCATTTGAATGTCCGTATTTTTAAGAATAAATATGTAGAAATTTTACATTTTACATAGAAGCCATTTCTAATTGTATTTATATATATACCGAACCATAATTTTAAAGTAAATTTGTAAATATAGATATATACTGTATTGATAGTTTAATTTGTGTACTTGTATTATAGAAATTGTTGTATTATTGAAATTGAGGGCTACACGTTTATTAGTGCTTTTGTACTATTACGTACTACCCTCTTGAAATAAAGATTCTAACTAACTAACTAACTAATTTCTGCATGGCCATCCAGAAAATTTACGGAAAAAAAACTTCTGAATTTTATGAACAAGCTGTAGTTGAAAAGTTAAATTTGAAGATTTTTGCTGCCATACAATTTATTTTCTTCATACTGATTGTATGGTCTGCGTTGGACAGATAAATTCAATCTTGGATGGGCAATTATTGAAAAAGATCAAGATGAAGGACATGAACAACAAACAGCTGACACAATAACGTAGGAAGAGATTGAAAAATTGACTGACCTAGGAAAAGGTATTGATCATAAAATAAATGTTGCATGCACAGGTTAGAACATGGTTCAACTCCATTCTCCTCCGCAGAGCCTTACAAATTTTTAGTAAAATTGCGTAATATTACTTGGGAAACAAATTACGTAATTGTTAGTCAAACGCGCTAGGTATGATGGGAAGACGGAAGCTACGTAAGGCTCTGCCATATAATATTTCCAAAATGGCGTCCAATTACAGACATAAGAATATTAAATTACTCATGAATTATTCTTTATTCATGGTGACAAATAGGCCGTTTCAGGATGCAAAAGTTTGTGGTGAATTGGTTTGTTCAGAGTGCATTGAGAACGACGAGGAAGTAAAGTTTTTTGACGATATTGGACCGAAGAAACGTTTCAAAGCTTATATAAATAAACATCGCTCCTTGAAATTCAATGACAGCATATGCACTCTGGGTGAAACGCTGCACGTAGTGAAACAATTGTCGAATCTGCGATTAGAGACGGTATGTAAATATTAAATATATTATTTTTGATTGAATAAAAATACAAAGCAACCCTCGAAATTCAACTATTTTTGCCTCGGCAAATAATTGCCGAAGCCTTTCGATAATTTTCGAGTTTGCCTCGGCAGTGCCTCAGCAATTTTTTTTGCCGAGGCACGCAATGAAATCACCTTAAATTTCTTCGGCAATTACTTCGGCACCCTTCGGCATTCACGTCGGCAGTTGTAATTAAAGTAAAGTACATACAGAAATTATTGTAAACAAATACTTAACGAGCGTAGGTTCTGAGACTTCTGACGTTCGACAATTTGTTGTTATTTTACAAATTCCTGATTCAAAATTTAAAAGGTTAGTGGTAATTTACAACCAATTGTATGAAAGAATAAACTTGACGGTAAAATCACACGACAGTCTAAAAGATAAAACAAAGTTTCTCGATGTACTGTCTTTAAATCATCAAGATTGTTCTTTATTTCAACCGAAGCCGACGCTGCATGAAAAGCTCAAATTTAAATATTTTGTAAAGTAGCTATGAATGAAATCTTCTGTTGTTCACCCAACGTCGATGACAACAATTCGAACAAAGAAGTGATACAAAAAACGAACACTGTAGTTTGTATATTTAAGAAGAAAAAAACGAACAGAAACTGTAGTTTGTAAGTTAAGCCGGGAACAGCGGGTGGAATTGCCTTGGCATTTTTTTGCCGAGGCAAACTATGAAAAATCGTAACTTGCCTCGGCATTTGCGTCGGCAATTGCAGAGTGCCGAGGCGAATTTCGAGGGTTGCAAAGTATATTTACTATAAAGTATGTATTCATTGCTGTGTCCCCAGTGTATATGTATTTGATTTGGAACAGTGTGTACTTTTTATAATTTGCAACTCTTGGATGAACCTAGTTGTTGCAAGGTTGTTGCCTTCTTGGTAGCATAATAAATGCCCATTTATACCCAGGGTTTGTAATGTTTGTGTGAATATGTCTACATATACTGAACTCTAGTAGCTTATATTATTAAAGGTGGCCCGCAGTTATTGGGAGTATAATTTCTGTTGCGGTAACCCTGCCACTTGTACTTTATATGTCTGTGTCTGTTTATTTGATGTACTTATCATGGCAAAGCTAATGGGTCATTCCAGAAAACATCCATACCACCCCCACAGAGGAAATTAGAAGTTAACCCCCCTACCCCCTTTAACACATTTACTATATTATCAGAAACAATTTTGTCTCTCCTCTCCCTCCAGACGGCAAAAATTTCTTCTGTGTGGGGAGTGTATCTTTTCTGGCACAACCCAATAAATGAGTTCAAAACTTTCACTTGGGAAATTTTAAAACAACAAATAACAATGAATACTAATAATTAATTAGACTTATCATAATTGCCAGGTTAACCTGTAGTAGTGACTATGGTAACATACAAATATCTTAATTATTGTACAGAATAATTCCATGGATGATGTGTCAATCTAGCATGAACTAATGTACACAGAATACAAAGTGTCATTTGGCAATGATGTAAATTGTTCCAATGATGCCATTACTTATAAAGTTTGTTCGTTCACTGCAACCAGGTATATCAATCGTGTTTCGCTCGCTACTCTGGTTTAAATAAATGATTACAAAGCCCAATCGAATTGTAATCAAGACCCAACGTTTCGACACTCCAGTCTAATGTCTTCATCAGGGGTGATCTAAAACTGCGATTGTGGCTTCTTAAATACCCAAGGGATGACGTCACCTGCCAAGAAGATGCATATATTCCTCTGGCAAATAGGCACCATCATCCCTATTCAAAGCATGATGACTCATATTTATATGCCACGCTTCTAGGCAAAGTATTTGACCATAGCGATTTGTTTGTGGTAATTACTTTAGAGTTTTCCCACCCAATCTTGTGTTTGGTGTAACATACATGTTCGGCTAAAGCTGATTTTACCTTGTCTAAAGTTGAAACAGCCTTTTGATGTTCTTTTAGCCGTGTACCAAACTGGTGTTTAGACTGACCCAAATACTCTTTGTCACAGTCACCGCATGGTATAGAGTATATAGCATGAGTCTTCTGATTTGTTTCAACAGGATCTTTTGGCTTTGCGAAAATATCGCCTAAAGTCAAATAGGGTTTTAAGGCAACCTTAATATTACAACTACTTATGATTCTCTTGATTGGTTCTGTGACACCTTGAATGTATGGAACTATTGCAAAACCCTTAACAGAGGTATCACCCTCGGAGTTATTTTGGTTCCTACAAACAGGTGGTCTCAGGCAATCATTAAGAAAACGCTTTGGGTAATTGTTTTCCCCTAAAACATTTAGAACATATTCACGTTCATTAGCAATGAGATCGATATTCTGCTGCAACATTTAAATTCTATTGAGCCGTCCATCCAATTCACAGTAGAACGTGAGATAAATGGACATTTAGCTTTTTTAGATTTGGATGTGCACAGAACTGTTGAAGGGAAGTTAGAGACTGATGTTTATCGCAAATCCATACACACAGACAAGTACTTGTCATTTGACTCTCATCACCCAGTAAGCCATAAAAGATCTGTAGAAAAAACTTTGCTTCAAAGAGCTGAATCGTTGCCGTCAAACAGTGATTCTCAAGCTAATGAATGTGAATATGTTCTAAATGTTTTAGGGGAAAACAATTACCCAAAGCATTTTCTTAATGATTGCCTGAGACCACCTGTTTGTAGGAACCAAAATAACTCCGAGGGTGATACCTCTTTTAAGGGTTTTGCAATAGTTCCATACATTCAAGGTGTCACAGAACCAATCAAGAGAATCTTAAGTAGTTGTAATATTAAGGTTGCCTTAAAACCCTATTTGACTTTGGGCCATATTTTCGCAAAGCCAAAAGATCCTGTTGAAACAAATCAGAAGACTCATGCTATATACTCTATACCATGCGGTGACTGTGACAAAGAGTATTTGGGTCAGTCTAAACGCCAGTTTGGTACACGGCTAAAAGAACATCAAAAAGCTGTTTCAACTTTAGACAAGGGAAAATCAGCTTTAGCCGAACATGTATGTTACACCAAACATGAGATTGCGTGGGAAAACTCTAAAGTAATTACCACAAACAATCGCTATGGTCGAAGACTTTGCCTAGAAGCGTGGCATATAAATATGAGTCATCATGCTTTGAATAGGGATGACGGTGCCTATTTGCCAGAGGAATATATGCATCTTCTTGGCAGGTGACGTCATCCCTTGGGTATTTAGGAAGCCACAATCGCAGTTTTAGATCACCCCTGATGAAGACACTAGACTGGAGTGTCGAAACATTGGGTCTTGATTACAATTCGACTGGGCTTTGTAATCATTTATTTAAACCAGAGTAGCGAGCGAAACATGATGCCATTACTGTTGCTATCAAAAGTCACTGAGAAACTGTTGAAAGTGGAACATTGCCTACAACTCCAGAAAGAATTTCAATGGACAGTGCTGTAAAGTTTAGACCAGGACAATTTGGGGAAAGTACAAAACATGGACCCCCAGTCCACGGTCCCCTTGTCTGGACCGGGTCCATGGACCCCCTCCATGGACCGGGTCCATGGACCCCCTCCATGGGCCGCATTTTCCCAAATTACAATATTACTGTTAAACATGATTCGAGTTTTCAATTTTTAAAAATATTTTAGTGGTTTTAAAGCATACTTTTGTTCTTAGCAGCAAACCTCATCTACACTCCAGTGTTTTCCTCATACTAAAGGTAAGGCTTGCTAACGACATATCATGACAAATCAATGCACTATGTGAATAATAATAGTGTTACTGACTTGCAAAGCTGGTCAATGATCACAGCCTATGAAATCAAAGAAACCTCTGCCAGCAAAGTGTTGAAATAAACTACTTTCATTGATTGTGCATCTTAATTAGCCTTCTTGGTTCAATATACAAAAAAGTGTTTCAATTCGTCTCTTATGAAAGTGGTCTAAAGGCACTGTTCATAATCAGCAATTTGATTTGTTTCGATTAATACATTTTTGTGAGCTCTGCACTAGCTAGCTGGATGTATTTGTTATTTGGAACAAATTAATAGAACATTTTGACCTTGCAAGTAAATTTGTTTTCTCCCTGCACAGGGTTATTTATATTCAGGTGTATTCAAAATTCCTGTTAACATTCATTCATAGATGGGGCCATTGAGAAATCGCAGGTCCGTGGACCCGGTCCATGGAGGGGGTCCATGGAGGGGGTCCATGGACCCGGTCCATGGAGGGGGTCCATGGACCCTGTCCATAGAGGGGGTCCATGGACCCGGTCCAGACAAGGGGTCCATGTTTTGTACTTTCCCGACAATTTGATACTATTGAAGCTCTTGTATCCAGAAAGATACCACTGTTCATTGTTGACTTGTTGTGGTCCCAACTGGCTGCCAAAACAAAGGCATCTGTTTGATTCATTGGGTATATCTGCAAATTTAAAAAAACAGGAGTTATCCAAACTGACATATTACAGTATATAGGTGCAAAATATTGTAGCTCTGACTGGCTAATTCTAGCACAACTATATCAGACCATATTTAATGCATATTTGGTTAATCCTGGACATTTTGATTGCATGGATACTTTATACAAAAATATACTTGAGTGGATAGCAAGGTTTGTGTCAGGCTCTATTTGTAAAATAGAGAGAGCAAGATGCAGAAACAAAAATGGGATACAATTGTAAAAACATTCAACAATTACATATTGGATGAAAATGAGCATGATATCAAGAATTATCCAGACCTCAACCTTTGGTTTCGGCAGATAACATTGACCGGTCTTGATATCATGCGAAACCCAAATTTAATAATTGTTTTATTATGCAATTATGATGTTATTATAATGGCAGGGAAGAAAACCTTGTCAGGTGTCTCATTAAAAAATCATGTCACCAACAGGCAATTTTGAATGTCGTTTTAGGTCGATAAACATTGAGGATTGTCTGTAGTTCTTAGCCAATCACAATTGAGATTGCATCAACATTGTATCATCTAAATAATTCAAATACATTCATTTGTTAAAAGGCCCAGTGGTGGATCCAGCAAGATTTCTTTAGGAGTATGGGAGGGGTGCTGGGCAAGCAGCCAAGCATACCGAACCTAGCTTACTGGCCAACAGTGTACTGATACAACATTGAATAAACATAATTTTTTATTTATAATTATATTTATCCAGGATACCCACATCACTAATGTATTTTTCAGTGGGGTCCTGCATGATACAATCATTAACAAAATTTACTTATATAAATATATACAATTAATATACAACGTCACGACATAAAGAAACGAATAATTAACTATATCTAATAAGTACAGCTAAGAATAGTTATATGGTATGTGACCTTAGTAAAGACTTAAATTGACTCAAAGAATCAGTGTTTCTGACGGAAACGTCCATTTTATAATTATATATTCTCCAATTCTTGTCATACTGTTATTGTGTGAAAGAAAAACTTCATGAACTTATTAGTACTTTGAACTAGTGCTAGATGCTGCCTTGAATTCCAAAATTTAATTTAGTCCAAGACTAATTCTAGATTAGATATATCACTACAAAAATATGTACATTGAGAGAGACTGCATGCTCAGTATTAACTAAGAACAAACCTGTGTCAACTGTTGATATGTGAAGCCTTTTTGGACCAGGTTCACTTTGGCGTTTGGACACTTCAGAGCATGCTCATTTATTTCCATATGATGCCTAAAATAAGCGGACGGTTTTTTAAAATATGGAATGTTACGCGTGCTATCGTAACCATTGCCAAAGTGTGCGCGACAAAGCTCCCGGAAACGCACCTGAGCTGTCGTATACAATGTAAAGCAGACAATTTTTTATGCGTTTGAGCTGTCGTATACAATGTAAAGCAGACAATTTTTTATGCGTTTCTGACTAATAAATTATGTCGAATAAGAAAAAGAAACGAACATCTAGCATGTTTGATTTCGACAACGTTAAAGCGAGCGTCCAAGAGAAAGCATGCCGAACTCATCACGTGCGTCAGGTATTAAACGACCTTCGCAACGTTAACATTAATGATATTGTGTCAAATGATATTGATCTTGGCGAAGACGAAATTCTTGCTCTAATGACGACCAAAATTTCTATACAAGCAGTGAATAATCTGCGTAAGACGCTGCAACATGTGCCTGCTAACATCACTCGTGTCACTGAAACACCGATGCGATCGTCAATGATTTACGAAGTGTTTAAAAGCCTACGTTCAGCAAACCTTTCAATGGAAGAAATAGAAACATACAGTAAAATACTTGAATCTCGATGCCCGGTGTTTATGTCCATAAATGATCCGATTACCGATATCGATTTTTCGAGTGATAAAGATTTGTTGGTCAAGTATCTTACTCCACCGGTGTCTGTTTGCATGCGATGCGATAAACGATTGTCTATGAGAAACAACCCATCAAGAGCGGTGTTATTTACGTTGCGCGGACCTGTTCGGTGTGCGAAAGTAACTTTGGAATGCAGAGACTGCTCAACTCGTTATGGTGTGTGTAACTACACAGACAAATGTGGCACCCGATTTTATCCCCAGGATTTTGACATTGACTTGATTGAAGTAAGCAATGTTACCTACCTACGCCCAGATCTTTACCAATGGATGCCTTCTCTCAGGTAAGACATAAACAAAGCTTATTTTAATACCCTGTAATTTTAATACCCTGTAATTTTAATACCCTGTAATTTTAATACCCTGTAATTTTAATACCCTGTAATTTTAATACCCTGTAATTTGTGAATTTGAATTCCGAAATCATTAAATAAACAGTGAGACAATTCAGACAAACAGTTAAAATTATACAGCAGATTTTGATTTACAGTATGCACCATATAAACAGAGACATAACTATAGAGATAAGTAAAACAATTACAAATTTTCGTTTTCAACACTCTTCAGAAAGGTAATTTATGAGAGAGATCATTGTTATTGTTTACATATATGAAATTAAACAATAAAACTAGTAGCTAAGTTCTGTTTTGATATACTAGCCTGTGTGCAGTCCCAGACTTCTAGGCTATATACTAGCAGGTTTTGATCAATTGCAGTAACAAAATGCTATATGCTATTGCTATGTGCATTGTATCACGAAAGTTTATTCTACATTAATTAGGTTAAATGTTATTATGTTAGGGGGTGATTACATGGAGAGTTTTCAGCCCGGCCTAAAGATAAAATCCTAGTAAAACACAGTAAGCGATTACATGACCAAAATTCCTGCCCGGTTTGAGCTGCCCGGGCTGAAATATGGCTGGTTATAAAATATAATAATAAAATATAATATAAACTAAAATTTAATACAAACTGGGACAATTGCTACTCTTCATTAAGCGATTACGTGACCAAAATTCTAGCCCGGTTTGAGATGCCCGGGCTGAAATATGGCTGGTTATAAAATATAATAATAAAATATAATATAAACTAAAATTTAATACAAACTGGGACAATTGCTACTCTTCATTCGGTTGGTCATCTCTGTGCTTGAGACTGAATTAGAATATTATATAATCCATATTAATTTCATCCATCTCACCCATATTCAAATTATATCATATTGTAGTAAATGTTAATTATACATACAGTAAATTTGTCAATTGTTTGTTACACTTGGGGGCTATTTACATGGATTCCGGGCTGGCCTAGCAAGTCAGTGAAACAGTCGGTCAGCAAGATCTCACCCTTTGTGTTATGTCAACAAACAGGCTGGACCAGTTCCCAATACCCCACTAAGGGCAACTAACACTGATGAGAAATAAAACTGGAGAATGAACATCTCAAAATTGTATTTCATCTCACTAATTATGGGACATGTTTGCCAAGTGTGTGGTTGGTAACAATTTTCAGATGTTTTCATCCAGAATTCTTTTTTTAGTAACCATTGTTGGGTAAGCTTTAGTGGCTTTGCTGAAGCTTATAACGAGATAAATGAAAATCAAATTAAAAAGTATGCTCAGTCATTGAAAGGTAGGTTTTTATAAGGTTTTTATAAAAGAGAAACCGAGCAATTTAATATGTATTTGTGACATACTGTAAATTTATAAAATGCATGTCTACGCAGTTTTAATGATTTTTCAGATGCATCTGTGTTGGATGAAGACATGGATGATAGCAACAAAGGTAATTTATCAGACCCACCAAGGGGTGTGACAGACAGATGATACTGCCTTAACTGGAGACATTGTCAAATTTTGTGGTTAACCCATTAAGCTCCAGAGCTTCCCCATTGACAAGTAAAATTGTCTGGCATTTGTCAAAAAAAAATATAAGTAGGGCACACTGGGGTGCATTGCCAGTTAATGGGTTAAAAACAGGTGACACAGTCTTCAAATTTTTGTTGTGGCTCAAAATCGAAAGTGACATTTATTACCCCCCTTGGTGGGCCTCATTTATACAGATTGGCTGGGGACAGTGGGCCTGAGCTTTTCCAGTGAATGTTGCACTGCTTGGAACTAAGTGTGCAATATAACCATATAATAAGAATTAGGGTATAATATATTTTTAGGTTTTTCAGAATAAACTCTGTTAGCCTTAATCATGCAATTAAGGCAATTCACATAGCTTATAAGCCAAACTTAATTTGACTGGGGGCTTCAGAGGGTGGTGTGTTAAATTTAGTGTTGATCTAGGTATAGAAAAACCATAAGCTGTATTGGACTTGTACAATATAGTAAATAAGCTTGGTCAGATTTTAAAACTGAAAGATTAGAACTGTAATACTGAATATTCCCTTTTTTGTTTGTCAAATAGGTTGTTCTGCCATATTAGACACATGCAATTTACAACATCCCCTTACTGATCATGTTCTGTCTGGCTACTCTGTTTTATATAAATAAATACAAAGCCCAGTCGAATTGTATTCACGACCCAACGTTTCGACACTCCAGTCTAGTGTCTTTATCAGGGGTGATCTAAAGTTGCAAAGTGGCTTCTTACATGTATATACCCAAAGGATGACGTCATCTGCCAATAAGATGCATGTATTCTTCTGGCAAATCAGCACAAAGCACAATTACTCATATTTATATGCCACGCTTCTAAGCAATGTCTTTGGCCATAGCGATTGTTTGTGGTACTGCGATTTCCAGTTGAGCATGGAATCGCGAAAGTTTGTTCGTTAAGTTTTGTCATTTGAAAACAATGTTTGTGACGTTATTCTATAATGTTGCTAGGCGAGCTGACAATGTTGTCAAGTAAAATGTTGTGAAGTTCACGACTATAAATAGAAACTTATTTTGTTTTGTAATGATTGACAGTTTTTAACGGTTTTTACTTGACAACATTGTGTGCTTGCCTGGTAACATTATAGAATGATGTCACAAACATTGTTTTCAAACGACAAAAGTTAACAAACAAACTCTACAAACAAACTTTTGCAATTCCACGCTCAACTGGAAATCGCAGTAATTACTTTAGAATTTTCCCACGCATTCTCGTGTTTGGTATCACACACATGCTCTGCTAAAGCGGATTTGCCAGAAGAATACATGCATCTCATTGGCAGGTGATGTCATCCCTTGGGTATATAAGAAGCCACTTTGCAACTTTAGATCACCCCTGATAAAGACACTAGACTGGAGTGTCGAAAGTTCTTGAAACGTTGGGTCGTGAATACAATTCGACTGGGCTTTGTATTTATTTATATAAACCAGAGTAGCGAGACAAAACATGATTAACATACCTGGATGCTGTGAACGAACAAACTTTAAATCCCCTTACTGTGTTTTTTTCATTTTGACAAATCAGTTTCAAATTTTTAAAGTCATCATCATTTACTACAAATACAGTCCACAGAGTCACCATTTTTTTATTTCCAATTCCAGGCATTTTACCTGGCGAGATGTCAGCTAAAGTAGTTGCAAATGCATTTTGGAAACGGGAAGCTGAACTGGAACTGCTCTCTCATGGTCTACGTGAAACTTGGATTTTTATGGAGAAGAAAAGTGGACCATATACTGGTACAACTGATGACATAATGGAGTATATTGACAAAAAACGCTCGGTTGAGCAGTATTCCCATGATTGTTCAGCTCACTGCAAAGAGAAAGGTAAGCTATCTTTCCATACCAGTAAAATTGTGAGAGTGAATTATGGTATCAAATAACTTTTGAAATGTTTATGCTGAAATCATATGAAACAAAAAAACACTTGCTATACCTAGTCTGTATAAATGACCAGTCAGCCTTTAACCTTTCAATCAATGTAGGTGTTAGTGAAAGCACATTTTCTTTTATGGCACTATAGTTTTGATGTTAAGTTTCTTATAGAAATTTAAGGTCCTAACTCTAGGTGGGTATTACAAGATACAGTATTACACTGCACCCAATTAAGCTGGAATGCACCTATGTGTGTCCTACTTTATTTTGTCTAACACCACAGAGTATTTTACTTTTCAGGGGAGAGTCTGTCACACTAGTGCATGTGGGTTATTTATTAAAATTACCTGCCAATGTGTCTTGTTAAGGTTGTAGCTGTATCAGAATGCCTTTGCAAAATATAATAAAATTAATTGGACATTTGATTTTTTTGTTTTGCCAAATAGCTAATTGCTCAGACACATAATCCATGTAAAAACAGTTATTTTTTTAATATAGGATGTGGTCAGCTTTATGTTGCCGATGGAAATTGGAAACTTCGATATGCACATTGTATGTGGAAAGTTCCAATTGAAGTCTCTGGGTTTGGAAAAATTAACTATCCAAATATCTGCCCCCTATCACCGAAGAGAGGTCATGCATTTTGTGACAAGCATTGCGAGAATGCTACATCACTTGGATATCCAACAATGCTGAGAGAGTTTTTAAAGACATGTGGCATCACAGATAGAAATATTGAAGAAGGTTGGTATAAACCTATAAAATTAACCCATTAAGCTCCAGAGCTTCCCCATTGACAAGTAAAATCGTCTGGCGTTTGTCAAAAAAAAATATAAGTAGGGCGCATTGCCAGTTAATGGGTTAACTAGAGACATTGTCAAATTTTGTGGTTAACTAGAGACATTGTCAAATTTTGTGGTTAATATCATGTTTTGTAATTTAACCCATTTACTGGCAGCACTCTATCACTGACGAGTAAAAACGTCTGGCGTTAGACAGAGTAAATACTAAAGTAGGGTGCATTGTCAGTTAATGGGTTAATAAGAGACACTGGCAGATAGGTTTGTTAACCCATTTACTGGCCGCACTCTACCACTGACAAGTAAAATCGTCTGGAGTTAGACAGAGTAAATACTAAAGTAGGGTGCATTTGGGTGCATTGCCAGTTAATGGGTTATTAAACTATCAATGTTAAGTATTGGTTGCATGTAATAAATTGCAATATTTTTACAATTGTGATTTCAGCCTTGAGTGAGATGTCTTCACAACCTCATTTGTCAGGTAGGTTTTTCAAACACCGCGGAAAAACGTCTGTCCATGCGCCAAATTATGAATATATGGCTTTTTGCCGCCATTTTGAGCCTTCGGAAACGTTCGGAACAGCTTCTCATCAAGTTCGCAATACATTTATAGGCAACGTTGACGCATGCGCAGACGTTTTCCGCGGTGTTGGTTTTTCATGTTTTCCTACGTATTGATATAATGTGCTTTGAGGCTATGTAACATTAGTAATGTGCTTTATTTATTATATTTGTTAATTTAAAGTGCCTATGCGACTTATTTTTTTATGACTGAATTGCAAAGTTCATAAGTTAAAATCATAATATATCTTGTTTTCTAAAAACTTTGTTATCTTTCATGTATGTCAAGATTTTCGACTTTGTTTGATATACAAATGTGACTTAAATGACGTCACACTGCATAATGTATTGTACTGGGGCCGGTTGTATAAAACTCTTAATCACTTTTTTAATCACTATTTTGTAGTTAAATAGTGATTAACTCTCAAATACGCGCTTCTTATTGGATGACGTTTCCACTAACTATAGTTAACTTTAATCACTTTTTTATACAACCAGCCCCAGAAGACTGTTTTTTAGCTTGATAAAATTGTCATTAACTCAAATTTGCAGACGAAATGATAGCTTTGATAGTTCTTAAAGTATATCACTTTCAATGTCAGTGGAATTATCACATGTTTGGCAAGGAAACGTTTTCTTTCTGAAAACTCATTATGCAGTGTGACGTCATTTAAGTCACATTTGTATATCAAACAAAGTCAAAAATCTTGACATAGAGGAATGAAAGATAACAAAATTTTAGAAAACAAGTTATATTATGATTTTAAATGAACTTTGCAATTCAATCATAAAAAAATAAGTTGCATATTAGGCACTTTAAGGAGGAGCCAGAGCTTGTCCATGGGCTAGTTATTGTGTGACAGTTTTACTTTGCGTGTAGTATTAATTAAACCATGCAATTCTTTTTAGAGTCATCTTTTGAAGCCATAAACAGTGGCCTTGATAAAATTTCGCAAGTCAGCAAAATTGGAAATTCTCCTAATGCATCAACTTTTCAAGGTAAATTTGGTGATATTGTGCCATATACAATGGAAACTTGTTATAACAGTGATTTTAGTTGCGTTTTTTTTTCTGTTGTTACTCTCCGGTCTGTCAGTGAATATAACTGTAGCCAAAAAATTAAGCACCTGAGTTCAAGACCACAGACACAACATATGGTGATTTTAGATGTTTATTTTACATGTGTGTTAACCCTTTAAGTGGCAATGCGCCAGACTTTACTATTACACTCTGTCTATTACCAGATGATTTTACTCATCAAGGGGAGAGTGCTGCCATTCAATGGATCAACTTTCTGTATATTAGCTAATAAAGTTGTGCATTTCACTTGCTATAATCAATTAAATCTGTATTATTGTATTTATCGATGACACTGCAGAAACTATTACCACCCCTGTTCACCAACTGCATGGGCCAGGCTACTCCTAAATAGTCAATCTTATCCTATTAAATCTTTTCAAAACAACTAACAAAAGATAATGCTTGTGTAGGAACTTCTGATTTCCTTTTGCAAAATCCTGAGTTTGTTGAAAATCAAGAGGTGCAAGGTGATATGGTTTGCAATAAAGATACTGGGGGCCTGAAGACATTACAGTGTTGGTCTCGAGGAATCTTTTTTATAGTCAGTGCTGGAGGCCATATTGAATACTGGCAGCCATTGTACAGGTATTTTATAAACCATATTTCTGCTACATTGCTAACTATTTCTCACGAAAGTTATTATTTAGTACCTCCTTCCAATCTATTTCCAGCTTTTGTATAAAATTAATCAAACAAATTCCTGAGAAATACATATTAAAATTTGAGATTATTATTCTGAAATTGATATTTCAACTTTATGTCAAAGCCTTCTTCAGCTGGACTGCATCCCTTTGGAATATGTTTTGTACTTCATTGGCTTGGATACTTGTTTGGTTTGGGTAATTACAAAAATAATTGTGTTAAGTTTATTTTAGGTCAGAATCTCCCACTCAGGCATACCTCATAACTGTTCTGTGGCTTTATGGTAAATTTAAAGACTTAAAGGATGCAGGATATAGTGAAGACGAAATTATTCAAGCCATGTCATCAGTCGTTCTGGCATATGACAATATGTGTCATTTGGATGGACTATTAGTTTCAAAGAAAAATCTCCCCTTCCCAAAGCCTTTTGACCAAGCGTGGAAATGTATTGGCAAAGTAATTGATCGATTACACATTCGAAATCACGTGGACCCAAAGTGCCAGCTGCAGTATAATGCTGACGATAAAGTACCAAGTCATTTCAACACCATGGCATGTGAGCAAACTTTTATTTGGGCCAGTCGATTAAAGAAAGTTATGTGTGCTATGCCGCACATTCATCAGTTTTTTTTTCTACATAGACTTGTTAAGTACAGAAACGCCTATACTGAGAAATGCCATAAGCAACGCAAAACACCAGTTTTGCCCAAAAAATAATATTTATTATATGTAAAGTTACTGTGGTGACATAAGTAAAGTGGTGACATCTTTTCTTTCTAAGCATTGAAATAGAATGCAAACAACATTATAAGAAATGAGATCTGTGCATATTCTCATATTTCATGAGCAAACATATTTTAGTGTAACACAACGTCCAGAGTCGACCCCTAGATCTCAACCCTAACCCCACCCCTTACACCTAAACCTAAAGTTATTCCCACTTATAACCATGTTGCGCATGAAACATGAAGTTACAGTATAACCCTATATGATCCCAGACACCGTCACATTTTGCTTAGGCCTTAGTTGAAAAAGTCACAGGCATTGACTCAATAAAGCCCCCATTACATGACCAAATTTTCTTTGACAAATTTCATGCATGAAATGTGTTTTGAATGCAATTTTTTCAAAAACGTCTAATTTACATGGTCAAAAGACCTCTGAGAAATGAAATTTGACAAAGAAAGTTTGGTCGTGTAAAAGGGGCTTAAGTAGCCGCTTTAAATGTGCACATATTAAAAGTGTTAAATTATATTTATGTTTTTAATGTTACTGGTAAAAACATTTTAGGAACTTGTAAGATTCGTACTCTACATTTGTACTTTTCGACTTCTCGGTAACTGGGATCATTATTTACAATATTTGAAGCTATAATTAACAACCATGGATAATAAAATAAATTATTTATTATTTATATAATTAATAATAATTTATTATTAATAATTTTTAATTATTTATAAATTATTATTTATTTTATTATCCATGATTCAACAGCGCTGAATAGGTTAAGTTTAAAATGTTTCTAACAAGATTCCTTACAGTCTTTGCATAAAAAATCTTTCATTACCTTGGTTGCATTGATGTAACTCAAGCCAACACATGAACAATGTACCCATTTGTGTGCAAGCATTGCACTGGATCATGCTTGCCTTTTTCCTTTTGTTGCAAATATTGCAATGATTTGTATTTTTGGATTGGAGGTCATCCTTCATTCTTTTACTTTTCTTTCCCTCCAATATGGCATCTACATAAAAAAAAACCATTTTCAACGTGAATAACTACCATTATAGCCTGCGAGCGGGATTGAGCCTGCGAGCAGGCTACTTTCCAGGTACTCCGTCCATATCCAGGCTTACAAATGCATGTTTCAAAATAAACAAAATATAATCATGGTGTTTTGTGCAAATACAAATTTTTTTTTTTTTCACTATTCGAACAATTAATTTAAATTGTAAATATTTAAATGTTAACCAAAGCGGCAAAGAAACAAAATCAATAATGCAAATACACTTGGGGTGGGTTGGATCTTGTTTTGTCTTTACAAAAACGTGACTTCATCTTGTTGAATTAATCTAGTTGGCCGTAAGAATGATGTCAGCATCATCGGTTGTATCAACTTATACAGTAGTTGTAGATTGCAGGCGAACGATCTTCTCACATGAAGTGTTTTTATATTGTTAATAGTAGTTTTTTTATGATATTGATCTATTATGTACTAATGTTCCAATAAAAGTAACGTTTGATTAAAGTAAGTAAAAAATAGAAAACATTGTCTTTACACTCAAAGTTTTATTATATTTTCGATGTACTGCAATAAGATTTTCGTGCAGTGTTGAGTGAAATATTGATGACTTCACCATGTTGCATACTGAATAACGAATTTTAGCAAATCCAGAAATTAGCATTATATATAACCGTTTCATGTCGTGTTTCAACCTGATTTCGAAACGCGTTCCAATATTGCATGCATGAAAGTTCAAGTATTCATACCAAAATTTAAGCTAGCCTTCCTGAACATAAGTGTATTATTAAAATTATAGCTGTTTTGGTTTTTACTTTTCATTACATTTGAAATCAAACAGCGTAGTTTTATATAAACGTTGTAAACTGTATATTCCTTAATTTTAAAATTGATTGTTAACATTAATCAAATTAAAATTCACAGTAGTTTCACGGTAGTTTCTTTCCGCTTAAGGAAGGTGCTTCATTTTTTTAATTTATGAACTTAATTAGATTTCTACTTCCGCCCTAAAGAGATGTTAGTCTACCAGACCTAACAGCTTACCATGATGGCTGGATCCCCCTTCATTCATGCCCATGATGACGTCCATGTCATCTCCAATTCCTAAAGAAATGAAATTAATGTAAATGAATAGATGCTGAAAAGGTACAGTTTAATATGTTGATAACATGACCACACCCATCGTGTCACAACTGACCCTAGCAACTGACCTGAGTCGTCCAATTGTTTTTCTTCCACTGTTGCACATTCCGGTGTTGCACATTCTAGCGGTTCAGTTTCTAGAATTATAGATTGTGTGATATATGGATGAAGAGCATAAACCAAACCCACCATCACGACAAAATTTTGGCCATTTGCAAAATAAGTGCGAATTTGCGATAATTTAACCTACCCACAATTCAGCGATAATTTAACCTACCCACAATTCTGTCCAAGGCTTGCGTTACACTTCCAGAACGGTTACTTTGGCTCAGTGATTGATGTTGCAGCCTTTGGCTTTTTAGTTTTAAACATTCAACCTCCTTTTCTTTCAACTGCCTCTTGATAGTTTCAATTTTCTTTGTTTGATCTTGAATCTGGTTCTCCTTTTCGTTTCTTTCTTTCGACCACTTCGACATCAGGTTTTCAATTTTTCTCTCCCATTCTTGCTTCATGTCTTCCTTCTCCTTTTCATGCTTGTTTTCAATTTCTTCCAACTGGACTTTCTTTTTCTTGCATTCTTTGCAGGATTCTTCATCAGCAGGCTCATCAGTTTCAGTATTGTTAGCCATTTCAAAAACTAGCAAGACAAGAAAAAATATTTTAACAATTGCAATAAAATTATGAAATCGTATAATTATGAACGCAGGATAAAGGGTACCATAAGAGATATCTAAATAAGACGAAAAAAATGCCTTGAGAACAAAAAAAGAACAACAATTCTTGCAACAAAACAAATACATCGTAAAACAACAGAGATAGGCGCCAGTCACCAAACGCAGACGCCAGCTTTGGAAATAGCTCTTCTGCAATAAAATACATGCAGGCGAGCAAAAAACAAAAATACATACGTTCATCAATTTGCAGTAGAATTTCATTGCTGAAATTGTGTCGCGGTACTTTGACACAGCTTATCTTTCTTTCGTGACCTTGAAATGCCGACTTGTATTCGCCTTTAGCACCATCTGCCTTGCTCACGAGATCTCTGACATTCTTTTCCGTTGGTGGGTCATCTAATTTTGCCAGGTGAATGACGTCCAAGGCCGATGGGATGACAAAAACGATCGAAAACACGTTCTTGTTCTTGTTGCTTCTCACCATTGGTCTCATCCACTTTGCAACCTGAATTGAATAGACATAACAAAGTCATTTTAAATCCTCAAACATTTACCATAATATTCCTATTAATACGTTCCTATTAGCGCCTCAATATTGGAGGTTTTTGTTAGCGATTTCCAGCACAAACCATAAACATAGAGAACAAACTTCCCAACATATGAGCTCGGAACGTCGAAGTTTGTTCTTACTTTTTATGTAATTGGATCGTTAATAGAAGCCAGCAACTTGTGGTCTTAAGGTGGCTCCCTGCAGTTATAGTACAGTTTAAAACATCTTTATATAGATCAGACGTCATACTCGCGCGCACGCGTGGAATGTTCGTGGCCCGGTAGATCATCAGAAAAACGAAGCGGGAAGTTGTTTTTGAGTTTTTATCACAAAGAAAACGCCAAAAATGGTCATATTGCCCTGTATTAAGTGTATTCAATATAAACATGGCCGGAGGCAAACGCTACCTAAAATACCTGAACTTTTTTAGAACTGTAGGGAGCCACCTTAACTACACATACATAAATATTTTAGATTAGGGCGTTTGCCAGTTTGAATATTTACGTAAACCTTTCTGGTACTGATATTACCTCGTTTTTCTTTAACTTTAATGTTGCAATGGCTTGTAACAACAAGAGGAAGATTTCATCCAAGGCCGTATACGCCTTGACGCTAACGTCGTAAAATGACTTGACATAGGGCAAGAAATCGTTTGTTAGATATTTGTCGAAACTGGCTCTGCTGATGACGTCATCGTCGTCAACCAACGTGATAATCTGTTGGATTAAAATGTAGATGGTGTTGTTTACAACATAATTTTGCTTGAAGATAACAAAGCATATATAGAAAATTCCGTCCATCACTAATTGATGAGGGTAAATTTCATTCATAACTCGAAATTCGAGTAGATATTGTGCATGGCGTTTTGACGAGAAACTAGTGACGTAAAAAGAAATAATACCTCTAATGCGAACAGCCTGTAGACTCCATAAATCTCAGACAGTCGTGGAGACAAGCGACTTATGTGGGCCTTGAAAAAGGCGATATGTTCTGCCAGTGTACCATTGTGTAATTGATCGCCCATGGAAATAACATCAACGATACTGTCGGTGCTTGCACAATGATTCGTCTTCTTGACTCCAAGAACTCTCCCTCTCCATTGACGTTGGATAACTTATTGAACCATATTGGTGTTGTTCGCTCGAAAGACCTGGTAAAACAATGAAAATACAGGAGATGTATATGTGATACTGCCTTTGATTTCTGCCTGATGTGACGGACGAATCGACAAAATATAAACGAAAGTTAGAAAGAACCACACTTCCATTATATTAAGCCTTTATAAAGATGAAAACAAGGAGTACATTTCTTGTTTTTTTTGAACAACATGAACACTTCTCATTTAGCATCAGTATTCTAACTAATAAGACGCATATTCTTTAAATATTACCTCATATCACCTTTCAGTTCAAAATTTATCGCGAGTAGGAACGTTGTGAGCGGTTTTTCATCACCTCTTTCCTGAGTTTGGCTTCCGTGACCATTGAATACGGAAACAAGGGGCGAGCGAAGTATGCTGGGATGGGTTGGGTCATCCCAACATAGAGGAATCGTTGATTTTGTTAGGTCGGAAATGATGAATTCCCCAGACGACTGGGACACCATATGCATTCCCATCAACTTGCCTACCAATGTCAAAGCAGTAGATTTTCCGCTGGATGTGTCACCAACAGCGCTTGCAGCAGGGCAACACTCTACAAGAAATAATAATCATGAATTTAACCAGCATCATTTGACATATAACAACTTGAGAAATAAACTGCTACTAGAATCCTGAAGCGATGTTAAACGTGAAGCATTGATTAATTAACCAATGAAACTTACTAATTGTTTCCAGCATTTTCTTGTAATGAAATGCCGCTATACCTCCACTCAATAGCAGTAGAAAGGGCATAAAGTTCACTTTAAAGAATTCTTTCGCTTGCTCGATGAAAGTATGCCAGTCAAAGATTCGCATGGGCAGGTCAACTTGTATTGGGTGGGCATGGAAGACCGTCTTTGGAATCTTCTTATCAGTCTCAGAGTCGAAGATAAGGCACCATCCATAAATGCTTCCACTCCGGCTCGTCCAGCATTCCATTTTTATTGACCTACAATTATGAAAAATACCTGGGATTCAAGGACTGAAATTTTAAAATTTTAAACAATAATAATAGACAACCTTTGCCTTGTAAAAATGAATGCCATAGAGTTATCCATGAGAAAACGACTATAGCTTAATCTCATTATAATCTCTGATTTATCCAGTCTTAAACCAGTTGTGAAAATATTTTACTATTGCACTTACTTGTACATTCTCATTAAGTATATAAGTAGCATTGTCAAAGTCATCTTTTGCTTTCAGAAGTGGGTCTTCGTCGATCCACGGGGGTAAATATTCATCGAGAAAATCACCAAATTGGTCCACCATTCTAAGATTCCTTTGCCTACCAAGCGTGAAGGTGCCTGCAATTTCTCTTGGGCTATTCGTCGTGAGTTCGCACACCTTGGCCATGGTGTATGAACAAATTTGTTCGTCGTCAACACCCTGCCAAAAAGCTCCACCATGCTCATTAAACGATCTGTTAATTGCCATTCTAAATTTTTTCGCCGATCCCATCTCCTCGATGGTTACATAACACTTCCTAATTAATAACAGAATAACCACATTATTGAACGAACAAACCTCGATTCAAATGCAAAACATGAAAGTAAATATTTATCTTTACAATCATTATTCAATACGCCTATTCAACTTTTAATCTGTTTGCGCAAACCGAAGTAAAAATAAATTTCAGCAATGCGATTGGTTAGTTGAGAAATCCCCCTTGAAAAAGTTGAAACCAGGGCGCTTATATATAGGGCGGCGCAACGACCTATTTTGGCGTTTTTGACCCACATTTTTTATTTCATAAAAAGATTTACCTTCGTATTTTGAATTATTATATTGATTTAAAAAAAATCGGTCACTTCAAAAAAGGAAACATTACGAATTATCACATAGTGTCTAACCCCGTGGTCTAACTAATTTTCCTATCTTGTAAAATTTTGGCATTACAGAATTGTTTTAAAATCATTATTAAAACACTCCAAAAATATATAACAATTTTTGTTCTGAAATAAGAAAATGAGAGTCACCGATCTTTTCGAGTTGTAATGTTGATATGATATAATGTTGATTAAACATTATTTGTTATTTATATAAACCAGAATTGCTGACTTTTGTGTTTGATGTAAACTGTGTTTGGTGCAATTGCATGGACATGACAATAGAACAAAATTCAACATTTCAAGTAAAGACTAAAGGCCGTTCATTTTGACTGATTAGGGAATCTGGGGCCGGTTGTATAAAAACGTAGTTAGCGCTAACTGCAGTTAAAAAGTAGTTAAAAAGTGGTTAACTTTAATCACGTAGTTAAGCCGGTTGTATAAAAGTGTAGTTAGCCTTAACTGCAGTTAAAAAGTAGTTAAAGTTAACTATGCTCTAGGGTATAGTTAACTGTCCAAAACGTAGTTAAAAATGGCGTTTGTATAGGAGTGAACAACATTTTTCAGTAAAACAATAATGAAAAGCAACGCTTACCTGAGATTTTCAATCGCTATCTTCCCTGTGAATGTTTCCTAACAATATAAACTCTTCAAATGCTATGCTTTGGTATTTTTACGAAAACAGAACATATTTTTGCACAGGAGAATTTCTCGAAGACGAAGTATGGTCCATTACACCAAGAAACACTGATATATAATTGCCAAACAGCTATGCCTTGGTTTAACGTAGACATCTCAAGGAAAAACTGCATTCTTTTATGATTTTTGTGGCGGTTTTTCTTTATTTTTTGTTTATTTTTCACTGTTTTCTAGTGTTTTGAATAAAATTCCCGCCTATTTGCAAAATACGAGTCCACAATCATGTTGAAAATGTGTGTCAGCGGTCGTTACTCGCTGCTTACTTTATGTAATTTTGTGTTTAAACGCCCCACGCAAGCCCCACGCACAGTTAACTACGTGATTAGTTAACTATCCGACTAACTACGTTTTGTGCAACGCAGTTAAGTCATGTAGTTAACTAATTACAGTTAAGGATTTAACTACAGTGATTAACGCTAACTACAGTTAGCGCTAATTACGTTTTTATACAACCGGCCCCAGGTCTTCGCTCGAAAAGGGCCCGCTGTGCTCGAAAAGTGGAATATTTTTCAGTTTGACTTCTACTGTCGCAACCACTACCAGTACCATGGTTTGCATCCCTACTCGCACTCTGTCTAAAGAGGGCCGTGTTGTTTGCTCTGGTTGTTTTCTGTTTAAATTTATAGAATAGAATGGAAACTTTATTTCACGAGGGAAAACGTATTAACCGTAAAAGTTATCTAACATACGGCCCTCGCACTATTTTGATATTTACAGGCATAAAAAGTATTAAAGATTACGACTATTTACATTTGAGAAAAAAATAATTAGTAATGAATACAATTACAATTTAGTAAATATTTACAATTTATACAAAATAGATATTAAATATGGTTTCCACCACGGATGTTTTTAATATAGCTCCTGTGCTATTCTGAGTATAATTTTCTGCGGCCTTTATGTAAAATAAGATATTGATAAATATTCATAAAAGTAAAGCTTAATGCCTCAGTACTTATACGAAACACTATGTAGGTCATACAGACCTGGTTTATAACGTTTGAACTTGATCTTGTGCTGGGCGCGCTCTACGCCGGCGGCGAGAATTGGTTTGGTGTGGACGCGGTCGCCACTCGCCATAATGCAGCCTCTTTAAATTAAAAAAATCGAATGCAAGCAGGATTCTTAGCTGCTGAAAGCGCAAAACGAAGGAAGATCGATCGTAATCGAAGAGATTTTGTTTGTAGCCTTCGGCCCATGAACCGGAGGTTTTTTAAAAGTTACCGGACGTTTGAGTTATTATAAGGTTACGATTTTTGGACAGATGGCGCACTACGCTATTGCATTATATCAAATAATGACTTTTCGGCGCTGTTTCATTATATGATATAATGAAAAAGTTCTTTTTACATGATATCATATCATGAATCAACTGAAAAGTCATTATTTGATATCATAGTGTATAACGCATTAGCATTATATCAAATCAGGACTTACACAAATGCTTATGATATCATATAATGATTTTGTCGAAATGTCATGATATATGATTTTGTCGAAATGTCATGATATCATATCATGACTTTTCGAAAGTTCATGATATGATATAATGCTTAATGTTGATAACATTATATCAAATAATGACAAAAACGAATAAGTCATGATTTGATATAATGTCTGTTCGTTTATCAATTATTTATATATAATGACAGTTTTCGTCATGATATGATATAATTAACGTTAAATAATTTTTGGACACATGGTGTTCCATACAGTTGGCCTAAAATTTTAGCGACCACTAGCATGACGGTGTCAAGTATCCATGCGGGTTTTTAAAGTTTCGAAATATGCGCTTCCGAAAGGTTTTTACCTTTCGAAATGTGCGCTAAAATAATGCATTTTTTACAGCGCATGAATTTAAATCTATAGAAATAAGACTGAGCCAAAAGTAATCCTTTCCTTTGTCGGCATCACTCATTACGTCAGAAAATGCCATACCGACAGAGGAAAGGATGCGATTTGGCAACTTGACCCGATTTTTCAATTCTCACTGACAGATAACTTTGTGTTTTTCAAATATTTAGAAGTGTTAAAACATCTCTAGTTATTTGGCGTAAAAATATTTCAAAGTTTATTTTTGTAGAGGGCCTAATTTACATTCAAAAAGTGTAAAATCGTCACGCGTCAAATCGCACCCAGTGTGTGACGGCCTTGATTTCCCGTGTCACTTTTGCTGGGTTTAAATAGCGCTGACTTGCGCAACACTTGAAAATATTGGGCAATTAATCAATGCATTTGCTTTTTACTTCATGTATTCTTTTTGGTCAGTGGGTTGAATTCGCTCGCACCTTTCATTGTTGCGCAATGCCTTTTGATACCAACAAGGAAAAGGGCATGAAATGGCAAGTAACGTTTCAAAAATGAAAACGCGCAACAGGTGTAGATACTGTATCCGTCTGAATTTGGAATTTCAACATAAAAAAGTTTATTTAAATTTTGAGACGCAACTGAATTACCCAACTACAATTATTAAGTCTAACGTGTGTACTTACATGGATACGCCGTCGGTGCGGTGCACGTCTAAAAGGTATCCGTTGTATTTGATGTGATCTTTACCAAACTTCACGAAAGCCTTCAGCGCAAAATAAAAGTTGGCGATGCACTTATATCTGCCCTTTTCAATCTTCGAATGCAGTGCTTTTACGCCTTGACTGTCTTCCCTCACGGACAGTGATTTTGCAGGTGACTCTGGTGTATCGGCCATTTCAAAACAACGAAGTGTCAAAGCTGTAGAAAGATACATAACATTATTAAAACAAGTTTGAGTCTTGTACTCTCAAAAGTCGAAATTTCTTTCAGAAAAGCCAACTTACCAGCAGTGTGTTCTTTAAATTCCTCCTTGATATTGATCAGCGCCCAAGTACGAGTAAAACCTCCAATGAAGAAGTGAAGACTACACCTGACTTTTACCATGGCGCATTGCGTACGGAAACAATAATCAATAAACAATAAACAATGAAGAACGAATTCTTTGAAAACACAGGGTGTGTGCCAACAAGGTGTAATTGTCTGGCCGTATAGCCTATGCCAGTCCTGTATGGAACACCATGTGTCCAAAAATTATTCAACGTTAATTATATCATATCATGACTAAAATTGTCATTATATATAAATAATTGATAAACGAACAGACATTATATCAAATCATGACTTATTCGTCTTTGTCATTATTTGATATAATGTTACTAACATTAAGCATTATAGCATATCATGAACTTCCGAAAAGTCATGATATGATATCAAGACATTTCGACAAAATCATTATATCATATCATGACTTTTCGACAAAATCATTATATGATATCATAAGCATTTGTGTAAGTCCTGATTTGATATAATGCTAATGCGTTACACTATGATATCAAATAATGAATTTTCAGTTGATTCATGATATGATATCATGTAAAAGAACTTTTTCATTATATCATATAATGAAACAGCGCCGAAAAGTCATTATTTGATATAATGCAAAGCGTAGTGCGCCATCTGTCCAAAAATTAAAACTGTCCAGAAATCAATTAACCTTATAATAACTCAAACTTCCGGTAACTTAAAACCTCCGGTTCATGAGCCGAAGGCTACAAACAAATCTCTTCGATTACGATCGATCTGGCTCCACTTTGCGCTTTCACAGCTAAGAATCATGCTTGCATTCGATTTTAAAAAGGCTGAATTTATGGCGAGTGGCGAACGTTGCTGGGAAGAAGCAATAACTAGAGCCGTGCAAGGAGCAGTTTGGTCCGTTTGGCAGACAGAGGTCAGTAAGATTTTAACCTATAAGAAGAGGACTCTATGAATGAGGTCAGTAAAATTTTAACCTATAAGAAAAAAAGATCAAAGTGCCGACACAAAAACCTCCTCAGAAATTTGTAAATTTTCCCCTTACGCCTCAGAAAAATTGCAGAGATCAAAAGATACCGACAGGCTTAACCTCTCAGAAACGACTTTGGGGTCACCCTTCAGAAATATTCATCCATAGGGGGAGGGGGGAAGGGTGGCTGGACATTGAAAGGGAATGCACCAAAAGGACCCAACCAATTCTCGCCGCCGGCATAGAGCGCGACTAGCACAAGTTTAATTAAGTTAATCAAACGTTATAAACCAGGTTTGTATGACCTACATAGTGTTTCATACAAGTTCCGAGGCATTAAGCTTTGAATATTTATCAATATCTTATTTTACATAAAGGCCGCAGAGAATTATCCTCAGAATAGCACCCTGAGCTATTTCTATAAATAATGGTGGTGGCAACCATATAATAAAACTAATAATAATAATAGCCGGCAAACTTTGCGAACGACGTACCCCACCAAATATCGAGGGCAGTGTTGTTTGCTCTGGTTGTTTTCTGTTTATATAATGGTTGCCACCACGGATGTTTTATAGCTCTGGTGGTATTCACTGGAAAAAAAAAGTGAAATCCATACTACGAAATTTGCAATTGCACCACTAAATCCATAG